ACACACACACACACACAGGCATTCTGCTCATACCTCTGCACTTTCTCAGGCTCTCTGTGTCAAACAGGTGGACCTCTGTCTTCTCTTTCTGTCTGTGTCTCTGTCTGTGGGTTTTCTTTCTCCCTTTCTTTTTATATCTGTCACCATTTGTCTCACACATACACACACACGTGCCCTACAAAACATGTGCCACACACATGCAAACACAATTACGCCTCCAGAATTGTTGCATTGCCTTAATGATTTAGGCAGAGGCGGCAGGGTTTTCTGTGTATGTTTTAGCATTTAGAAGTAATAAGTAACTTGAACCTCTGCATGCATTTATCTTTGTTTCTTGTTTCAGTTGCGTAAATGATTCAGTTTCTCCTGTAAGATGGTGTGTTGTGCAGGAGCACGGTAACATTTGGCATTTTAATTAACCTCTCAGGACCAAGGGAACCGTGCATGCAAGTGATCAGACCTGTACCAACAGTACATGAGTAACTCCTCTCAACTGGGTGGTAAGGCCCCTCTGCCGTCGACCGACTCTCATCAAACTGTCAACTGCCCATAATTAAAGTCCTGACTCATTTCATATCATCATGCAGATGTACCTAGCTGGTCTATCAGACGCGCACAGACTTGCGAACACTTGCAGCGCTTTGCTAAACCTGGTCAAATGACAGGATAACTGTTCCTGAACAAGTTTCAGATTAATCAACAAGTTTTATTATTTTTTTCTTTCCAACAGTCCAAAGTGTTTTTTTGACTGAACTCCCAAGATAAACTCACAGTGCTGTTTGCTGTCATGAGGGGCTGCTTTTATCATGCGTGTCTGCGAGGGGGGATGTGTTGAAATGTGTAATCAATACTATTGAGTCCAGAAACTTTAGCCTGAGTAGACTGTGACCTCTTCCCAGTTAAGGAGGTAAATGTTTTCTTGGTATCCAGAGGAGTGGCCCATGTGCCAGGCTGTCTGAATAAATCAGAAACCTAACAGGACGCAGGCAGAGCCCTACTAATTATTTGAGAACACATGGCAGGCGATGCCGGTGTCATTTATTGGTAAATGGCTTGGCTTGGGTAGGAGGTGTTGCCAACTTTAGCTATAGGGGTATAAAGGGCTGACGATAACGTGACTTTCCACGTCAATGTCCTCCTGATGTCGTCTTCTGTGTTATTTATTCAGTTCAAGTAATGATTTGTTCCACTGACAAACTGTTGACTTATTTAGGGACTTTTTCAGGATTGTACCAGTATTTTGCAGAAATAAACTAAAAATAATTTATGCTTTAGATTGGAAATGTGTCTATTCTAGTGCTGATATCTGCAATGTGGTGCTGAGATACTAATAACACTAACAAGCACACATTTTTTCAATACCTAAAATTCTCCATGGATTGGCTCGGGATGCAAGACACTGAAAAAGTATAGCCGAGTTCCACCAAACACTTTTACTACTGAAACCCGTACCCAACCCCTACCTACACTTACCTAAAATCTAGATCTGTTCTGTGTTTCCACCACAGACAGTACTCTTAAATGTAGGCAGGGTTGTTACTAGGGCTTTAGGGCTAACCCCCTTTACTTTTCCAGCAGCTGGAAAACAACAAAGAGTTTTCTTGGTCTTGAGAAGCTGCAGCATTTATAACCTACACTTTACATTCACTGCTAGATTGACAACCTGCTGCTGACCTTTTCTTCTGCTCGGCTCACATTCACAGTCACTTCTCTGCCGCCGTTTCTCCAGCTGACTCTCGCCTCGCTATGCACACATGGTACGTGGTTGTTTATTAGCCTACAACAGGGACAAAAACTTTGTTAGAGAAAAGGCCTCTTGACAAAAACAGGAGAGTTTGGGAAATTCTACACCAGAGTACAGATGGCGAGACAAATCAGTGATCTGCGGTGTTTCTAGATCCACGTCGCCGTCCTGGTTCAGTGTACCAGGTACCTCAACAGAAGGGTAATGAGAAAAAACACTATGAAATAGTTTGGTTCCATTGGTACAATCCACAACATTTGACAGTGGAAGTGTAGACCGTTATAATGTGTAACAAACTGAACTAAACTGAAACTGGACTGGTGGAAACACAGACATTTTGGTTTTGGCGCCCAAACTGTACCTGTGAAGAGCGCATTTGAGTCACGTCCATATACACAGGCACTCAATGTAAATTACTGAGTTTCAATGTAACAACCAGATTATTGTATTTCAGAAACATGGAATCATTTCTTTTGATGTGAGCTGAGGCTCTCTTTATTTCCAGCAAGGGTGGGCTCCCTTACTATAACATCGGAGCAAAAATGGGCAAGAACCGGTAAAATCTCTTGAATGATCCTTCAACAGTTTCGTTTATAACATGTCTGCAGTGTTAAAAATACACTAAACTAAAGAACCATTGAGCAAAACTGTTTCTGTAGTTGTATGAATCAATGTGTGCCAGTCCTGTGTGGTTTTGGTCTCGTGTCACGTAAAGCATGTCTGTTCTTGTAACAGGGAGGGGAAAGTCAGGGGCCGTTAGGAGCTACTCTATAAATCTTCACCTTTTGTCAGCTGGAGAGCTTGCTGGTATAGCTGCCCACCCCCCTCACCCTGCTGTACCCCCGACCCTCTGACAGTAACCCTATCTGCCCCAGCTCTTCTCCATATGTCTGCACACACTGACGTGTTACCATAATGATCT